TTCCTCCTAATCATTCCTTCTCTAAGTTCAACATCTCTCTTGTACCACAGCCCCTACCCTGCCCTGGCTGCTCTCCTCTTCACTCACTGTTGGTTTATTTTACCATCAGCTCTAAAGGTAGGAGCTCCAAGTGCTGAATTGCAGAACTGTGCAGTAGAGAGGGTGTGAAGAGCTGGGTGGGGGAACCCTTGGGCAGATCCCCCACCACAAACACTCAGCTTGGGACCTTTTGGGTGGGATGTCATGATATAGATTCATTGTTTGAACTCCCTACCGCCTTCATGCCTGTGCCAGGGTAAAGCTTGTAAGGTCAGCATTCCCCGGGGTGTTGCCCCTTTTTTGCTCTAAAGTTTTGGTCCCCTGCAATGGACTGAATATCGTGTATCCCCCACCCCAAATGCATAGAGACCCTAACCCAGTGGTTCTCAACCTTAAAGTAATGCATTAAGAGGTCAGGCCTTTGGGAAGTAATTAGGTCATGAGGGTGGAGTCCTCATAAATGTGATTAGTGCCCTTATAAAGGGACTCCAGTGAGCTCCCTCACCCCTTCCACCATGTGAGGACACAACGAAAACACAGCTGCTGTCCATGAACTGGGAAGCAGGCTGTCACCTGATAACCTGCTGGTGCCTTGATCTCGGACTTCCAGTCTCCAGAACTGTGAGAAATAAACTTCTGTTGTTTGTTATTCCCCAATCTGTGGTGTTCTGTCATTGCAGCCTGAATAGACTAAGATATTCCCTTTCGTCACTTATCACCAAGTACTCTCATTAAGCTCCCAGGGAGGCATTTGTTTAGCTGTGGCTCCATTGCCAGCAGTCAAACTTCTTATCACCACATTTGAGGTGGACTTTCAGCATTGGCAATTGGGCACACTTCATATTTTTTTTAGGTTTTGCTTTCAATACTTTAATACAACAACTACTGTTTAAGACCACGGGCTATTTTTGTGGTAGCCATCTGTATTGCTGTCTTCTGAATGCCCATTTCACTGCCAATGTTTGGGCAAAAGGTAGGCTTACACTTGTAGGGATGCTGAGCAAAGAAGCGTTCCCTTTTCTAGGGCCTGGGTGGAATTTTGGGGGTGTCCCAGTAAAGAAGAAAATTCAGGGTCAGCATCTCCAAAATATCCATGTTCTGCTCACATATTGCACTGGCCAAGCACAGAGTTTGGAGCAAAACAAAGCCCTTCTGTTGTGACTGTCCTGCTACCTTGAGTCAACTCCAGCCCATTTCTGTGCAGTCCTGGGATCGGAACAGCTGGGAACATGGGCTGCTAGAGAAATCAGTATGAAAGCCACTCCGTTCCTACACTGCCTCCCTGAACTTCTGGGAGAACTTCAGAATCCATGTCCGACAGGGCAATCCGGAGAGGCAGATTTCTGTTTTAGATTAACAGGAAGATTTATCATGCCAGAAGGTCAATATTTACCTTGGCTCCAGCTTGATGAGTATTTACTTCTTTGTTCAGTGGCTCTCTCTGCTGACTTCAGCAGAAGCGAAGTTCTGCTTTTTGTCTGCTGAAGAGGATGCTGACTGATATTTTCTTATTGGAAAAGCCTGGATACATAGCTGCAGAGGAGCCCACTCCTCTGGTGGTGGTTGGGGGTAGGTTTGTCTTCTTCCACCAAGAAATCTGATCCCTCTTTGTATAAACAACTCTAGTTTTAAGATGCTTTTGAACTTACAGAAGGCAGAGCACAGGGTCCCAGAAAAATCACTTTTCCTCTCATCTCCTTGTCTGAAAAACCCGGATTATGAGAACACCTGCTTGAAGTAAGGGTCCAGTTGAAACACACCTGACCCTTATTTGTCCCGTTTGCATTTTATCCAGATTCCGGGGGTTATGTGATCACCCAAGGTCACCAAGGAATTGGAAAAGAAGGCACCAGCTCTACAACAGGCTTCCCATCTCCAAGGCTTTAATTCTTCCTCGGGCTCTTGGGAACAATGGCTTCTGCCTCTACTAAGATTTTAGGGCGTGCGGGGGGCACAGTTTGAAATATAGAGACAAATACTTGTGTAGAGTGCTGATGGGAGGCCCACCAGGGAGAGCAATATTTGAAAATGGGACAGACCTTCCTAGGGCACGCTGTGCTGGATTTTCAGGGTTGCTCAAACTTTCCCACGCCTGCCGCCCACCACGAGTGTGTCTTATATTGAAAAATAAGGTACATTGCACATTCTACTCAATAACATTTCAGTACACTATTCATTTTAAGATAAAGTTTTGTTTAAAATTGTTGACCATGGAGTAAGTAAGATGCCTCAGGTTATCCCAGGGCTCCAAGTCTTCGGAGAAAGCCCTGAGCACTTCCAGGTATGAACCTACTGGCTGGCCCCACTTTGGGGGTTTGAGAAGGGTGTGCTCTTTAATTTTATCCCTCACCACATACTAATAATTAAAGTACATTCCAAGTACTTTATGTGAATAACTCATTGGATTCTTTTAGCAAATCTGTACATTAGGTGCTGTTATTATTATCATGATTTCACAGATGAGGATGCTCTGAGAGGTTAAATAACTTGTCCCAAGGTCACACAGCTGGTACTTGTTAGAGTTGGACTCTACTAACTGGTGTTCTGGGGTCGGGGGGAGTTTACAGTGTGATGTCACAAAATCTCCATTTTTCTTGGCTCCCATGGCCCCACTGGGGGTGCTGCAGCTGAAAATCTTGCCTACAGGAGTGACCGCTTAATAAGGTTGGGTATATCCACTGTTGCCTTGGAGACAGGAGAGCAGGATGAAGGGAAAAGTGAATTGCAGGAGGCCCTAACTGGAAAGGTCTTCAGAGACAAGCCAATCCATTCTTCATTGTTTACTCCAGGTCACTCAGCAAGTTAGTGGGGGAGCCAGGAGCTGACTGGGGCTTCTTGGGTGATATCACATTTCTTGATTTTATGCATCTTTGTGCTTTTATCTCTCACCCATTTAAATGAAACCTCCTCTGGTTTGCAGACAGACCATTTGTCCGTACTGCCTGCAGTCTTGTGAAGGAGAAAAGGCCATTTTAATGCCCTCTGAAGAGCAGTATAAGCACCTGAGGTTGAGAACCATGTTATTGCTTCTTTAACAGCCTTCACTGCACCCGACACAATGCTGGACACAGAAATTTCCCGGTACATGTTCATGGAAATGAACGTAGGGTCTTTGTATGAAGAGGAGGACTAAACTTGGACAATTACCCTCAGTCCTGAAGTTTCTGGGATGTATTCATTCTTTTCCTAGAGCTTTTTGTCCTAAAAGAATCCTGTGATATATGGAGTAGTGTTCTTCCTTCTCCTCCGTGGTCCCTCTAGCTTGGGTGCAGCCCCTGGCACTGGAAAAATGAGTTTAAGATAAAAACGAAATTCTTGTTCCCTTACTGTAATGCTCACAGCATGAAGCCAATTCACAGCAACATGGAATTTTCTGGTCTTTAAGATCTCATTATGCAAGTAAAGGAGGGGAAGGAGGGAGACAGAATGCTTACAAATTCCTGGGGTAGGGGGATGACCTCATCATTTATTGTGTGTTGGCCAACTGCCCAAGGAGCACAGTTCAGATTCCTTCTGGGGGAGGCACTGAGAATCCCCTGATAACCCAAATTCTCCAAATCTTTTAGGCCTTGAGAGAGTCACGGAGAGCAAGAAGAAGGAAACGGTCCTAAGTCCAAGTTGTGTTTCTCATTAGGGGGTTGTCCACTCTGCGATGGACTTTACCCATCCTGATTCCTAGATGGAGACTTGGGACATCAAAAGTGTGGAAGTTCAATTTCAAAGGCCCCAGTAGGATGTGAGGGGACGGAGTGGACAAGAATGGGTAGTCTGGGGAGAGGGGGAAGTGGCCTGCCTATGATATCCTGAGGTATGTACTCCAGGGATGCATATGGAACATGTACATATTGGGACATGCAAACAAGAGAGCAAAAGCCACAGGAGTGCTGCAGTCCATTAAGCACTTCATACCTGCTGGCTTTTCCCAGCCCCACAGGTATTTTAAGGACCAGATGCTCCTCTGTTAGAGGGGCAGGGCCTCTATCAGGTCCTAGGATGCTTTGGGGAGAATTAGAAAAAGATTCCCAACTTGGGAAATGAGGCATAGGATGGATTTCAGGTTGCACCTGTCTCTTGGGCAAGGTCAAGTGCTATGCGGATCCTGTAGCCCAGAAAATAAAAAACGTGGGGCTCACGGCTCATGTATGAACTGGGATTCAGCCTTTTCATCTGTAAAAGGTGAGACTGTACTACACCTTCCCAGATCCTTTCCAGATCGATGCCTCGTGCATCTGTGATCCTAGGGACAAATTCTCACCCAGACTGAAAGCTGCTCTTTCCCAGCTACTTCTCACCTTGCAGAGATAGATGTGGAGGTGAGGGCTGGAGGTGAAAGGGGTGGGGTGGGGTGCGGGGGGGGGGGGGGGGACACTGGGTGTGCGATTGTTTGGTCCAAAGAGCCCTGGACAAGGAGCGTGTATTTTTCTGGCTTAGTTTTTGAGCCTCAATTTTCACCTCTGAAAAATGGAGCGAACCTAATAGGAGAGCAATGTTGTGGGGACTTAAACAACTTTGCCAGGTGAAATCGCCAGGCAAGGAGTGGGTGCTTCACAAAATGTTTGCGGATCCGCAGAGGGTTTGGTTGGTTGGGAAGATTCTAAAGAGTGTGTGTGCCCGGACCTAGGAGCAAGGTCTGGTTTTCAGCACGCCCGCACGGCTTCGGGGACCCCCAACGGAGTTAGAACTTCAGCTCTGCGGCCACTGCCGCCTCCTCGGCCCCGGCCCGCCGAGGGTTAACGAGAAAGCCCCACGCCCCCTTTGACGGCGTAGAGCCCACCTCGCAGAATTTGAAAAGGCGGCCCCAGAGAGGCGTGGGCGCCCCCCAGACACTTTCAGCTCGGACCCGGGCTCGCCGGCTCGCTCGCTCTTCTCCGGGCGGGGGCGGCAGGTCTGGTCCCGCCGCGGGTGCGCTCCCCACGGTTCCCGCGCCGGGGGCTCCGGGTCCCCGCAGGCAGCCGCGCAAGATGAAGCTGGCTCTCTTTCTGCCCTGGGCGTGCTGCTGCCTCTGCGGGTCGGCGCTGGCCACCGGCTTCCTCTACCCCTTCCCGGCCGCAGCCCTGCAGCAGCACGGCTACCCCGACCCGGGCGCCGCTCCCCGGGCACCGGCTACGGGGGCCGCCGGTGAGTAGCGAGGCCGCGGGGCCTGGGGGCACGGGCCGTAGGAGGCTGGGAGTTCGGGGCGGTGGAGCACAGGGGGCTGGCGACTTCGGGGTGTCGGGGGCTGGGGGACAAGGACAGTGGGGCCTGGGGGGCCGGGGCGGCGGTACCTGGGGGCTGAGGACGCGGGGTGGTCAGTGCCCGGGGATGAGGACAGGAGCGGGGGCTGCAGGCGCGGGGCCCACCCTCTCCTCCTCGCTCTCCCAACCTTCTCGCCTGTGGCTGGCGGCTGCGAGCGGAGGTGGCGGGAACCTGCGGCGGGCGAGGCGGCGGCCGGGCCGGCTGCGGTTGGGTGGCTCTGTCCCTGGACGCCCGCCGGCTCACGTGGCGCCGCCGCGCTCACCTGCACGGCCGCGGCTTTGTGTTGGGCAACTGGTTCCCAGGTTGCCAAGGCCGTGCGTCCGGGTCCCCGCCCCTCCTGCCGGCTGCCCGGGGACACCGGAGGGTCACTGTGTCCGGTACTTGGGCGGGGTCCGTGGAGGAACCTCGGCCGAGGCTGCTCAGCCACCTGGAGACAGTACCCTGCTCGGCTGGGATGGATCCGCGGTGGGTCCGAGGAGCCGGTCCCCGAGCCCGCGGCTCCCGGACCGCGGCGGCCTCCTCCTCCGCCGGCAGGTGGCGCCCCGGCCACTCCAGCGAAGCTTGGGGCAGCGTCTCCTCTCACCGCGGTCGAATTCCCCAAGAAAACGCGGCAGCACGCAAGTAAAAGCTGCCAAAACGCCTCCTTCGCGCAAGTCACTCGAAATTAGCTTTTCCCCATGGAAGAATCATTACGATTCACACGGCTGTAGTTCTCTAGAACACACAACCTGCATTCGTACCATCCATCTCTTTTGAAGCTAAAACCACTCCAGCGTGAACTATTAGATGATTACCTTTCCTTTAACGGAGGAAATTGAGGCCAAGAGGGAGGTCCCATTGGCGACTCAGGACGGACCTCCTATATGCTTCCTCCAAATCCGTGCTTTCTGGCTCCGTCCTGCTTTGTTGCTATGGAGGAAGGCAAGAGACAGACCCCAAGTCTTTTTCTGCTTGTACTAGTATTTACCAAACCTGGGAGGGCGACCAAGTTGAATTCTGGCAGTGCCTTATAGGAAGGAGACAGGGATATTTTGTGCTGGGAAGAACATACACTTAATGGCTGGATAAGGCGAGACTCAGAAAAGCTTATAAAAACGCTTCTGGAAAACTTTGCACGAAATTTTATTTCCCCTGTTCTGTTTGGAAATACTTACCCAAAGCTTCTATTCTCCAAACGCCCTCAGTAGTGTGGCCTCTGCACAGTTCCATATGAGAATAGTCTGAAAAATAAGCTTTTCAAGTTGCAGAATGATAGGTATAGCATGATCTCATTTATGAAAAAAACCCCAAACACTCTGATTTCTGTCTAGGTATATAAGTGCCTGGACAAAATATGTTTGTAAGAAACCATTTTCCATGGTTACCTATATGGAGAGACCTGGAACTGGGGGTGGGAGGGGAGAGAGTAAAAGAGAACTTCCATTTTCCCCCTCTGCCTGTGTCTTGTTTGCATGTGTTGCAAGGAGCGGATATTCATGCATTACTTTTGTAATTAAAAAATGTGGGAAGGAACCCCCCCCCCCAGCTCCTGCAGCTTGGAATATGCACTCTGAAAGGAGCTGAAGTGATGTCCATGAAGGCAGTGAATGACTGAAGATGGGGGTTCTGGTGTTTGGTGGGCTGGGACTTGGGGACCTTTGCAGAAACTTGGAAGGGATTGCTTTAGCAGAGACCCAAAAGGCCCTCGCCGGTTTGGCTCAGTGGAGTGAGCATCAGCCCAAGGACTAAAGAGTCATGGGTTCGATTCCAGTCAAGGGCACATCAGTATGTTTCTCTCTTTCTCTGTCTCTCCCCCTCCCTTCTACTCTCTCTAAAAATCAATGGAAAAATATCCTCGAGTGAGAATTAAAAAAAAAAAAAGAATGAGAGAAACCCAAACAAATGTGGCAGTCTTCCAGAACTCTCTCCGTCAGATTGGGAGCAGGGAGAAAGCATAATTAGGTTCAGGGAGGATCTGGAGGAATTTGTAGAAAGTAGGATACTAGGCGGTGTTAAGGAGGCTTGGGGGGGCAGGTTCCAGATGCTTGAGATGGAGGTTCCAGAGCATAACTGAGTCCTTCCACACGAAACCCAGTGGGCATTGTAGGCTTGAGCCACCAGTCACAGGTGGCCCATGCCCTTGAAATTCAAGAGCCCCAGAGGTGGACGGCTTGGGAACAGTGTTTGGCCTGGTGCCCTTCACAGCTTTGGCTTCATACGTGTGTTTATAGTGGCTTGGTCTCAGTTGACAGGCAAAGCAACAGAGCTGTTTTTGACAGATAGCCTTCCTTTTATTTCATGATATTGTTCCTGTTGGTATCTGATTTTGGTACATTCTCTCTCTCTCTCTCTCTCTGTCTCTCTCTCTGTCTCTCTCTCTGAATATGTCTGCCCTCCTGGCCAGGAGTCTGGGTCTGAAATGTGTTGGGGGCATCTTGCTTTTGCTCTGTTCATCTCCATCAGAAGCCCTTTGTTTAAGCTATTTTGGCAAAGAGGACCCCAGTTCCTCGGAGGGCCGTTTCCAGTAGAATCTTGCAGAGCTGGCCCTGGCTGGTGTGGCTCAGTTGGTTGAGTGTTGTCCTGTGCACCAGAAGGTTGCCAGTTTGATTCCAAGTCAGGGCGCATGCTCGGGTTGGGCTCTATCCCCTGTGTGTGTGTGTGTGTGTGTGTGGGGGGGGCAGGGGGGTGCAGGAGGCAGCCCATCGATATTCCACTCACATCAATGTTTCTCTTTCTCTCTCTCTAAAATGCAATAATAATAATAATAATAATAATAATAATAAAAATCTTGCAGAGCTGTTCAGATGCCAAATAAAAGCTGAAAGGAAATGCAACATTACTTGCCTGGAGGCCTGCACTAAGGACTGAGTCCCCCCAACTCCCTGCCTCAGTGCCCCAGTTCTTCCATTCTACCCGACTAAAGACAATACATTTGTGATACTCTTTAAAGCATCCAAGTCTCACTCCTCCCCTCCCCCCTCCTACAGATGTTTATTAAGGGTCTTGTCTGTTGTCTCCTCATCTCTACATCTAACCCGAAAGGGGCCAAAACAGCAGCAGGCGATCAGGGCTCAGGACACAGGAGTAAGACCAAAGAAGGGCCTGTATCCCTTTCGTGGAGCACATCTCCCAGCTGGAGGAGGGAGAAGTTTTAATTTGGATAAAAGAGAAAGTTTTAATATTACTTCTTAGAGAGTGTTCTTCTGACTAAGAGAAATCAGAAGAGCTGTGGGACCTGCCAGATTTCAGCAGAGGAGGGAATGACTATGTCCAGAGAGCAGGTCTGTGGGCCAGGGGACAGAGGACAGTGTTTCTTTTTGCTTAGAGCTGGGTCTAGAAGGAGGCAGGGGATTGGGTGATTGCTTCCTCTTGGCCCTGAAAAATGGCACTCATTCCACAAACCACTTACTCCTATACAGGGCCTGAGGCCCGAGGACAAATGGAAGTTACATACTGTAGGGCTAAATAGGCTATGAATCAAGCGAATGATGGTTAAAGAAGTAGGTTCAGCAAGTTCCGTCCTCCAGAATATACCTTCACAATGGCCTGGAAGGCAGATGCAAATGAGGAAATCTTACTGCCTTAGAATTCTGCTCTGGAAGATGTCTGCAGGGGGAGGGCTGCCCTGGACCATCTCCAGCCCTGGATTCCTCTCACACTGTGATGGTGATGCACAGGCGTACAGACTCCTTAACCTGCATGTCCAACTTCAGTCCCTACCCCTTAGACTAGAAGTGGGCATACAGTCTGTGGGGTCTGCCCTTAAAGGATGGCTGGGAAAAATGGCCCTGGCTTTGGGTTTGGGCCACTTGGGCAGGGAACCCGAGCCCCCAGAGCTGGGTCTAGAAGGAGGCAGGGGATTGGGTGGTTGCTTCCTCTTGGCCCCACCGACTCATCATTTCACAGGAGGAGCACAGCGAGAGCAGGCAAGAGCAGGGTCCTCCCAAGTGTAGGACCCGGGCAGAGCCTCTCTGTGGTCTAAGGGCCACTGCTTCTCTTACCGCAGTGGGGTGGGGGCTTCTGGCTCTGCCCCTAATTGATAATGTGAACTGGCACGCGTTCCTTAACCTCCTTGAGCCCCAGTCTGTCTGATGAGTACCCCATGGAGACCAGGATTCGGGGTATGAGGCTTGCTGGGAGGGCATGCGCACAAGGTGTGGAGAGCAGAAATGGGTACACAGATGCTGGGTTTGCAAAATGCAGATCTGGCCTCATTCCTTTTGGCCCTCACCCTTCAGCCTTCCTCACTGTGATCAGAAGAGTCCAAGCTGTTTAGCCACAAGTGCAGGCCCTTCTCCAGCTCACACAGCCACCCTTTGGCCCCCTTTGCTGCAGGTCCCCCCCCCCTCCAGCCTGGCTCGCTGCAGGTCATCCAGGTGTGCTCTCGCTCCAAGTCACATCTTCCATGATGCTGATACAAATGAATAAGTAGCAATTTCTCTTGAACCCTCACCAGGCAAGGGTTGGTTTCATCCTGTCCTTTATCTGCATGAACCTGTCATTCTCACCACACCCTTCGAGGCTGCCTACTCCTTCTCTACCACTCCCCATTCTGCCATTATTTTGGACACCGAGAAGTTCAGGTGTGTGGCTCACCAATGCCCAGTGACCACTGGACTGGATAGTCCTTTGTTGTGGGGTAGTCCCGTGCATGGCATAATGTTCAGCAGCAGCTAAATGCTGTAGCTCACCCCCACCTCCCGGCTGTGACAACCAGAATGTCTCTGGACACTGTCAGGTGTTCCCTGAAGGACAAAACCACACCCGTTAAGAAACATTGTTCTCTCTGAAGTCAAGCATTTTGATTTGGGGACACTTAAAGATATTGTATTTAAATTGTTTTCAATGGATATTTTCAAGCTTACACACAAGTAGAGAGTAAAATAAACCCTCGCCCTAGCCGG